CTTGATATTAAGAATGCATTTCTGAATGGGGAGTTGGAAGAAGAAGTCTACATGATGCTACCGCCAGGTTTTTCTAAGCAAAATGAAGGAAATAAAGTATGCAAACTGAAGAAGTCTCTATACGGCCTCAAACAGTCACCTAGGGCATGGTTTGACAGATTTGCAAATGTGTTGAAAAAACAGGGATACCAACAAGAGCAATCGGATCACACTATGTTTTTCAGATTATTTGAAGATGGGACAAAGACTATTCTGATCGTATATGTTGACGACATTATTCTTACCGGAGATAATACAGTCGAAATAGAAAAACTAAAAAGAGGTTTGGCCACAGAATTTGAAGTAAAAGATTTGGGACAAATGTGATACTTTCTAGGAATGGAAGTAACCAGATCAAAGAAGGGGATTAGTGTTTCTCAACGAAAATATATTCTAAACCTTCTAACCGAGACAGGTATGCTTAGGTGTAAACCAAGTGACACCCCTATGAAGACCGGAAGAAAAACAGAAAACATCGGAGCTTTTATTGAAAAAGACAGATATCAACGACTAGTTGGAAAACTAATCTACCTATCTCACACTAGACCTGACATTGCATTTGCGGTAAGTGTGGTAAGCCAATACATGTATGCTCCAAGGGAAACTCATTTAGAAGCAGCATATAGGATTCTGAGATACCTCAAAGGCTCCCCTGGGAAAGGACTACTGTTCAAGAAAAATGAGAAAAGAGAAATTGAAATATTCACTGATGCTGATTGGGCAGGTTCAATAGAAGATAGGAGATAAACCACTGGCTATTGTACTTTTGTATGGGGAAACTTAGTAACTTGGAGGAGTAAAAGACAGAATGTAGTAGCCAGAAGCAGTGCGGAAGCAGAGTTTAGAGCAGCTGGTCAAGTAATATGTGAAGGTCTATGGCTGAAAAAACTCTTGGATGAGCTACAAATTTCAATGAAAGTTCCAATCAAACTCTATTGTGATAACAAAGCAGCTATCAACATCTCACTCAACCCAGTCCAACATGATAGAACCAAACATGTTGAGGTGGACAGGCATTTCATCAAGGAGAAAATTGAAAATGGAACTATCTGCATGATCTATGTCCACCAAAGAACAGACTGCCGATGTATTCACCAAAGGGCTACAAAGGTAAATATTCGATGATTTCATCTGCAAGTTGGATATAATCAATATCTATGATCCAACTTGAGGGGGAGTGTAGAAATCCCGAATCAATTATG